TCTTTGCAAAATTTTTCATTTATTTTAGATCTATGATGATGTTGTTCAGATCTCGGTGGTGGGGGTGGGGTTCCGGGGGTTGTGGTAGTGGGTTTCGGTGGGGGGGGGTGGGTTTTGGTGGTGGGTGGTGAGATTGGGGGGGGTGGGTTTGGGGTGGTCAGTGGGGTTGGGTGGTGGTTTTGGGGTGGTCAGGGGTTGTGGGTGGTAGGGTTGGGAGGCGAGAGTTTTTTGGTATAATATCAAACAGATTTTTTTATTTTGTTTTCAAATTTTTTAAATATAAATGATTAAGCATGTATAATATTTTTAATTTTTATCACAGAAAAAATAAAAATTAGTTCTGTTTTTTTATAAAAAAAACATAAAAACGAAAATGTTATCGACCACACCTTTAATAATTGCAAACTTGTTTACATGCATTTTCGTATATGAATAACAAATATATATAAACCTGAATACCTTTAATATTATACATGTGATTAAGCGTGGAGGAAAAGTTGTAAACATGTTTAGGATAATCAGTTTCAATGCTCTAACTTTTCCTCTGTTCATGAATTACCCAGTGTAAACAGTTCATAAAAGAGATGATTAGAGGGTCACCTACGTTAAATTATCTTCTCAAGCTTTATGTTGAATTTGAGAAGCAACTTCCACCTGTAGCTGAAATAGATGATAGATGGCCAGATGCATAATGAAGAGAGTTAATGTAGGAATAATTATGATATTTCAACAAGAGTCTTTGAATGCAGGAAAGAAGTGGTGGATATGGCTGCTCACTGCAATGGGTGCTTTCGCTATAATACTCATATCATGCTATCTAGTACAAAGAAAGCTCAAACTAATAGGTGAGCTCCACAAATTATCATTAAATTCAGATGACAATTGTTTCTGAAATTTTAATTTCCATGTTTATCTATTAGGAAAGAGAAAAAGAAGCCAGAAGATGATACTGTCTGAGCTAAGAGGGAATCCAACGCAGGACACCAAATACTGCAAAGCCAATAATTACAAAACAGACGAGAGGATGAGCCAGGAATTACACTTATTCAGCTTTGAAAGCATTGCAGCTGCCACTGATAGTTTCTCAATCACAAATAAGCTAGGAGAGGGTGGCTTTGGACCAGTGTATAAGGTAAACTTTGTGCACTCCTCAGCTTAAAATGATTTGAGAAATCACTCATTGGCAATATTTCAGGGAAGATTACCTGATGGACAAGAGATAGCAATAAAAAGACTTTCAAGAGGTTCAGGTCAAGGACTGGGGGAGTTCAGAAATGAAATTCTTCTAATTTCCAAACTCCAACACACTAATCTTGTTAGGCTATTAGGATGCTGCATTAAAGAGGATGAGAAAATTTTAGTATATGAATTCATGCCCAACAAGAGCTTGGATTTCTTCCTCTTCGGTATGCAATCCTAAACACTTGTAACTGCTTCTTTTGGAGATGAACCATAATCCTGCCATATTTTTAGCAATCGCTCCCACTCAAATCCCATATGTCCACTGCAAACAGATCCTACAAGAAGAAAACTACTGAGATGGACAAACCGCTTCAACATCATTGAAGGAATTGCTCAAGGGGTACTTTACCTCCACAAATATTCGAGACTGAGAGTTATTCATAGAGATTTGAAAGCCAGCAACATCTTATTAGATGACAATATGAACCCAAAAATATCAGATTTTGGCTTGGCAAGAATATTTGGGGTTAGTGAATCAGAAGCAAACACAAACAGAATCGTGGGCACACTGTAAGCAAAAATAAATTAAAAATGTTCATCATCTGAATGTCCACACAAGTTTTAACACTACACTTCTTTTGAATCTTCAGTGGCTACATGTCTCCGGAGTATATCCTTCAAGGCGTTGTTTCAATGAAGATTGATGTATTCAGCTTTGGAGTTTTACTGTTAGAGATTGTGAGCAGCAAGAAGAACAATAGATGCTATCATTCAGATTATCCACTCAACCTCGTAGGATATGTAAGTTTGTCACTGAAATTCAATCTTTGTCTGTCAGTTCGTCATCAGGAAGCATTGATTCACATAAGGTAGCTAACATTGCAAACTATGAAACTTTCTTGTATCAGGCATGGGAACTGTGGCAAGAAGGTAAAGTCTTAGAGATAATGGACCTAACATTAGATGAATCTTGCGATCGTAATGAAGTAATGAGGTGCATACATGTGGGTCTCTTGTGCGTACAAGACAATGCAATGGACAGACCCTCCATGTCAGATGTTGTTTCCATGCTTACAAATGAAACAATGACTTTACCTGCACCAAAGAAACCCGCATTCTTCATACAAATGAGTGCACCAAAGGTGGAGGAGACATGTGAGAAGTTGGAAAACCAGTCCAACAATGGGCTATCGATTTCAGAGCTTGAAGGCAGATAAAGGTATAATTTATGCATTGGTATATTCAAAAACATATTACCCAAAATTTGATGATTTATGGGACTTTGTCTACAAAATAATTGGTTTTTTTTTTGGTCAATACAAAAATAATTGGCTTGAGTTGGGCCTTGTTAATACTCTCAACTCTTCATGACAGGCCTCAAATGTAATTGTATCAGATGATGCAAATTCAATGTAGGCATTAATTTACATTATTATATCAGAATTGTGAAGTTTTTGCAAATGATGAATTGAAAACGACCAGATTTGAAGAAAATAGACAACAAGAATCCTAATTGAAAGACGAAATAACAGCATAGATGATTGAAGATAGTAAAACGAATCAGATGCTTTATTAACTCTAAAGTGAGATCTCTGTCTCTGTCTCTCTGTATCGAGCCGTGACCATCGTCAGTGATGTGTCAACACCATGACATCCATAGGGTGGCTCTTAGAAATGGGTTCACCCATTGGCGAAGCTTGATGGTGCCTACATGTGGTTGAATTTCGATGGGTGTGGCTGAATTGGTCTCTTGATTAAGTGGGTTTTTCTTTGATTAGAAGGTGGCGCCACCGCCACGGATCAGGAGAGAAGAGAGAGCTAAAAGGGATTAAGGGGGTTAGAGGGTGGACAGTGAACCACCACAATGGCAAGAAACCTGTCTGTGGACTGGAGGCAGAGACAGAGAGGGAAGGAGAGAAAGAACAGGGATGATGTACTTTGAGTTTTATTTGCTCGAGTCTTCGCGTGTCTCTGAGTGAGAGAGAGAGGAGATGGTGGCTTCGTAGAGTTGAGCTACTTCTATTTTTGGATGCATAAAAACGAATCAAGTCTCGGTTATTGTGGTTTTGGCGGAGATTTGGGCGGAGTTGCAGGGTGGTGGTAGAAGTAGAGGCATTGGGCGGTGGAGGTGTGCCACGGAGCAGGAGTAGGAGTAGAGGGTGATAATTGGGTTGTCTGGATTAAGACATCGTAGTTCGTGTCAAATATTAGTTAATCATGATCTAATTCATTTAATAAATTATGTTATGTCAAGTTGATTTGTTTATTTTTATATCGTGTTTGTATTCGTGTTGATCTATATAAATTTTGAATAAAAAATTTAACTTTAAAATTCGATTTTCACTTAATTAAATTTAGGTTTATATTTTTTTTATAAATTAAAAATTAACTTAATAATAATAAGTAAAAATATTTTTTTATACAATAATTATTTTAATGCTTAATAAATAGTTACAAATAATTAATATTTTATTTCTATAAACAGTTAATAAACATGTTAATCGACTAGTGATAATCTGTGTTTGAAGGTACGATAAAACATAAAATTTGTGCCCCAAAAAATCGATCTCACATTGTTAAATAATAATTTTTTTTCCTTCATTTCTTTTATTACATCATTCAAAATTTATTTTTACCTTTTATTCTTTTAAAAATATTAACAAAATTTTCTCAAAAATACGTAATTCGATAAAATTTTATTCACACATATATATATATACTATCGTGTATGGACAATATTTGAAATAAAAAATTATGTTAAATTACAAATTGATCAAATATTAAGTAATTGAACTACTTGTCTTGTAAAAGTTTTGTCTTCTTGAGGTCAAAAATTCAAGTCCCCTCTTTCTCCTCCCTTCTCCCCCCCCCCCCCCCTCTCAAATAAAAGTAATTGAACATATAATAGAAATGAATTGTTTTGGAGGAAAAATGTAAAGAGAATAAAGTTCAACTTCCTATATGTTTTATTATATAAATGTTAATTGTGTTATATACAAATAAGAAAATAGAGGAAATGCCCATTATTAACTAAGTCCTTCAAAATTATTGTGATTTTAAAACTGTTAGACTTAAAATAATTTTTTTTTATGCTACAAAGGAAGAATAGTTATCATATTCTTGAATTGAGACCATATATATATATATATATATATTTGTACTATATCTAAACAGGTTGAGCATGCCATTTTTGGATAAAAAATTATTAGGTCATGTTCGTGTCGTTAACAGGTCATTATCGGATTAGTGTCGACACAATTAAATAAACGGGTTGATCGTGTCAATTTCAAGTTTGGTAGGTTGAACCGGAACATGATCCATTTTTATTTCATATTTATGTGTTAGGTCATTTTTAAGTTCGTGTCATTAAATTCGAGTCGTCGTGAGTCAAAAATTATCACCCAAGCAGAAGGCTTTTTGGATCTTCTGATAAGTAAATATTTAAGAATTCAGGGGTAAATTTGTAAAGTGACAATTTTCGTGAATACCGTCTTTGGCAAGCACTGACAGAAGATGTCAAACTCTCGAGGGTATGGAAGATTTGGAAATTAGTTTGACAAATAAGGTTTTTAGCTATTGAGTTTGACAAATAAATTGGAAAACTAGAAAGAAAGTTTTTTTTGTTTTCCCGGGAAGTGGAAAGTTATGAAGGTTAATGGTACAAACTAAGCCCAGTTCTTAGATTGATTTCAAATTATCATAAGGCAGGTCAAGTTTAGTTTATGGTTTCAATCTAATTCAAATCTCAACAATTTAAGAAGAGTCAACGCATGTGAGAATGTAATTATTGGAATAGTCATTTTTCCAGGATAATGTTTGATGATGTGCTTAGCACGATAGAGAAGAGATGAGAGATTGATGAGTCACTGAGTAACTCAGTCTGAGTTTCTAGACTCATAAGATCTAGACCAAAGATATGAGATTAACACACATAGAGTTTATAGTGGTTTACCAACTCAGGATCTTGACTAATTTACTATATTGTCTATTGATTAATGCAATTCATACTCATGTTTATTTAACTCAGGGTACAATTGACATTGACTTCCCTAATCTGCGTATGGCTTGATCGGAACCCACCTACCATGGGTTTGATGAAACCCACATTCAAGGGTTTAAGATGTTAGGCCAGCTACGGGCCGAGACTGTTGTCCATGCCTTCTAAAAGTCATCCAAACAAGGGTTTTGGGAGTCCATTTAACTATTTCCGAAAAATAAAAACAAGTAAACTTGAATTGCAAAGAGTAATGATTAGCCTCCCAGCACAGAGTTGATGTTTTTTCAGTCCAAAGTTGCATTTTACCCAAAAATCTCTCAACCAAAAGTTTACAGTCCCCTTCAGTTTTACAATAATTAGGAGCAACACTTTGAATTTTGTCATTTCAGATTCATATTAAATATTAATCAATTTTAACACAACTTGATTATTTAATTTTATCATATAAAACAAAAACAAATTTAACCTTTTTTACGTACAAGTCATACTCAAGTTAGATTCGTATAAATTGTGAACACGTGAACTAAAAAACTTACAATCTCCTCTTTTTCCTTTTTAAAACCCAACCCACAAATTACAAGCCTAATTAATTAAAAATCCAATCAATCCACCAGATCACGAAATAAGAAAAAAAAAACTTTCTTAATTAATTTATTAGATTAATTGAAATCTAGATGAAGAGACATAAATTCTAAATAAACTTGGTTTACTTATTATCTTATGAACGAATCATGTTATTTTTCAATTGGTGTCTAGCAAATTGCCAACTCCCATGTACTAATTTCATGTAAGTAGGGCGTTCAAGTTTTTGATTACCCGCAAATTTCGACCATATCCTACTCTACCCGACTCTATTGATTGTAGGCCAACGAAATTTTTTTTGGTATTATACAAAAAATCGGATAAGAATGTGAAATACTGACAATATGTTAATCCCTATCTAGAAACCCTAATGTTTTATTGATGTTTATGGCTTTCTTATATATGATGTATTAATATTTATGGTTTTCTTGTTGTGTTTTATTATAATTGTTTATGTATTATCAAGTTTATTGTGTTAGTTAATTAGTGTAGGTTATTTAATTAAATTGTTAAATGATCCAAAAATTAATAACTTAAAAATATGCATTCACTCGACTTCTTATCCGATTGTTTTGAACGACATTCGAATAGGAATAGTACACTTGATCGGATAGGGTAGACCAAGAAAAAATTCTTCCGCAAAGTATCGGATAGAAAAATAAAATATCATAACTCCTACCCGTAGGGTAGAGTGAACACCCCTAGATATTAGATTCAGGTCCCATTAAATTTCCAACCTCATCTGAGTACATGGTGAGGAAGTGAATTAACAGTGTACTTCCGAAATTCCGACAAGTTGGTCCAAATTGTTTTGGACACAGAGGCCCAAGTATATTGAAAAACTTATAATTTAGGTAATAAAGTAGATGATTGTAGACTGAAAAACCCCTCCTAGCAGGGGTGAAATTCCTTCCACAACGGGAAAGTCTTGCATACACACACACACGCTCGTGGCGCGGGGCCTCCCTCCAAACCCAACCCCAGCATTCAAATTTCTGTAATCAGAAACTTCTATAAGCATCTAGTTATCCCAAGTGTGATATCAATGGTTATTTTGATTCTAAACACCCGTGAGTATACATAGGTTAACTTAACTCAACAAAGCTTTGATCCCAACTATCTAGGGTAGAGTACCCTCCCGATTACACATAGTTAGACCAGTCAAATAACAACGACTCAAAATGCTAGCTAGATACTGATCTTTAATAAGGGGAATAACACAGGTAGAGATATCAATGTTGTTTGTCATTTATACTCTCTTCTTATTTCAACAAGCATGGTAATCACCACACGGACAGTTATGTTTTATGTACATACAACCAGAATCGTAACATTTTATTGAGGCATGAGCATTTGGCTAGAATTTAACAACCTCCACTTGCAGGCTCAATCGAGCTTAGAAGACCATTGCCTCTCAGCTGCATGCAGCGATCCTCTGCATCTACT